CGCATCTGCTTGCGCCTCACTGGACGCAAAAAAACACATTAAAAAGACCCATTAGAACTGAATTGAGTAGCGAGGAAACCAGAAGTTGGTTCCAGGAACAACTGAGGTCACAATTAGGTAGTTCTGCAAACGAGGTTGACCCAGATGTTGCTTGGAAAGCTATACAAACAGCTGTGGAAACAGCTGTCATCTCTCAGTGATTTAAACCACGGGGTTACAAAGAACCCGTGGAATTCATCAAGGTCTATCACACTGATGGATTCTCGTAAACTCATCCCATTTGGTTCTGAACATGATGAAGAGCGTAAAGAAATCAGATCTAGGTTAAAAAAAAGTCTAAGGTACGACCGTGAGCAGTGGTGGGTAACGAAAGCAAAAGATATGGAAAAGGCGGCGACTATAGGGAACACAAGAAAGCTTTACAGACTAATAAAAGAAACGAATTAATAAGTCAAGTGTAAGTGAGATTATTTCGGAAAAAGACGATACTCTCATCTGCTCTCAGTCCAGACGTTTAGAACGATGGGCGGGACATTTTAGAGAACAGTTTAACTGGCCTTCAGCAATTCTACAACTACCCTTCATTGAAGTAGGTCCCCCAACTCTTGCTGAAGTTGAGAAGGCTATAGTTAATCTGAAACGAGGAAGAGAAGCTGGTCCAGATGGACTGGCTCCAGAGGTCTTTAAGGATGGTGGTCCAATTTTAGCGATTAGGTTGACTAATATTTTAGCTAAGATCTGGGAATTAGACGTTATCCTATCTGACTGGTCGCAATCACTTATCGTAGCGCTCTCTTGTACCAATATTTATGTGTTCAAATAAAATAAATAATAATAATAATCACTTATCGTCCCAATATATAAGAAAGGGTCAAAATCATCCTGCGACAGCCACAGAGGGATTAGTTTAACTAATATAGTATCTAAAATACTAGCCTCGATAATTATCAAACGCCTAACTAAGACTCGTGAACTGCAAACACGAGAGAACCGAAAGCCGGCTTCAGACCTGGTCGTGGCTGCATCGACCACATATTCACCATTCGTCAGGTTCTAGAACACAGGCATACTTATCGACGTCCGACGATGGTGGTCTTTCTTGACTTAAAAGCAGCATTTGACTCCGTAGACCGCGAAATTCTGTGGCCGTGTGTCATTGAAAGGCGTACCCCAGAAGTACATAAACCTTGTCAAGGCTCTTTACTCGAACACTACTAGTCGAGTCAGAGCTTATGGCGAACTGTCATCTACTTTTGCAACCTCAAGTGGTGTCCGTCAAGGTCGTCCACTTTCTCCATTTTTGTTCAACTTCATCATAGACCTACTAATGGAAATAACATTTTCGTCGACTGAATTCTCGGGTATTGATCTCCTACCAGGAGGTCCACTTATCGACTTAGAATACGCAGATGACATAGTCCTGTTTGGTGAAGACGCTGACAAAATGCAGAGTCTTTTGGCAGCACTCAGCAACAATGTCACAATGTTTGGAATGCGCTTCTCTCCCTCTAAATGCAAGTTGTTGCTTCAGGACTGGTCTGCGTCAACACCTGAACTAAGGGTAGGGAGTGAAGTAGTCGAACGCGTTGACAACTTCACTTATCTTGGAAGTCTGATCAGCCCTAATGGGTTGGTATCTGACGAAATCTCAGCACGGATTCGAAAAGCTCGCTTGGCTTTTGCCAACTTACGTCACCTATGGCGAAGGCGAGATATCCTTCTATCAATAAAAGGACGAGTATACTGCGCGGCAGTCCGTTCTGTTTTAATTTACGGCAGCGAAACACGGTCATTAAGAGTAGAAGATACTCGTAAGCTACCGATATTCGACCACAGATGCCTTAGCAATATTGCTCACATCTGCTGGGATCACTAGGTAAGTAATGGTGAGGTTAGACGCAGAGTATTAGGGAATGATGGTAAATCAGTAGATGACGTTGTGAATCTTCATCGACTGAGATGGTTGGGCCACGTGTTACGTATGCCCGCACACCGATTACCACGACGTGCAATGCTAACCGGTGTTCGGGATGGTTGGAAGAAAGTTAGGGACGGCCAAACCAAAACGTGGCATCAGTGCTTGAAGTCACTAACTTCTAGTCTGAGCCATGTTGGTAGATGCAGACTACTTGGTTGGGGTCCGCGTGACTATCGTAACCAATGGTTAGAGACTCTTAGTGACATGGCTCAGAGTCGATCACAATGGCGTCGGTGTATACACTCCCTGTCTTCCCTTATACTAAAAGATTAAAATCGCTTCATATCTTTCTTTCTACGAACTAATTCTTCCTTCCTATCAGTCAGTCAGTAACAACGTAGAACTTCGTACGTACGTACATCAGTTCAAGTTGCCACACCACCTTAACACAGAGATGCAGTTGTCGATCCAAATCCCGTAGTGGTAGAGGTAGCAAGAGTGTAAGCAGTGATCGGGAAGATTAGGGTGTGAGGATGTTATTTAAAGAGTATAATTCAGTGAAATAAATTTGGAAAGAGAAAAAAGGGACATGAAGAATTCAGAAGATCACAATTTGGGAGAACACAAAGAGTGGACGCATCTGACTCACCGCAAGCGATTTCGATCCATGTCATTCAAGGTCTCTAAACATCTGTTGCTATCGTCTCGCGGACCCCAACCAGATAGTTCTACACCTACCAGCATGGCTCAGTCCACTTGTCAGTGACTTCATGGACTTGTGCCATGTTCTGGTCTGGCCGCCTCTAGCTTTCTTCCAACCTACTCCTACACCACAAGATATCACTCGTTGGGGCAGTCGGTGAATGGGCGTACGTAACATCTTCCAGCCACCTCAACTGATGAAGTTTCATCACTTCATCAATTGATTTGCCATCCTTACCTAGTACCCGTTTCCTTACAACTGCATTAGTTACTCGGTGGTCCCAGAATATACGAGCAATACTTCAAATACATCTATAACCGAATACCAGTAACCTACGAATATCCTCTACTCTTACCGGCCATGTTTCACTTCCATAATGCAGGACGGAACGAACTGCTGCGCAGTAAACCCGTCCTTTGGTTGATAGACGGATATCTCGCCTACGCCATAAATGACGCAAGTTAGCAAAAGCTAGTCGAGCCTTTTGTATCCGTGCTGAGATTTCGTCACATACCAGACCACAAGGGCTGATGAGACTTCCAAGATAAGTGAAGCGGTCGACACACTCAACTACTTCACTCCCTATCATTAGTTCGGGTGTCGATGCAAATTAATCCTGAAGCAACACTTTGCATTTCGAGGGAGAGAATTGCATCCCGTACATGTTTGTATTGTTGCTTACAGTGGCCAGAAGACTGCATTTTGTCAGCGTCTTCGCCAAATAAAACTATGTCATCAGCATATTCTAAGTCAACAAGTGAACTTCCCGGTAGAAGTTCAACCCCTGGAAATTTAGATGAGGAGAGTGTTATCTCTAAAAGTACGTCCACCACAAAGTTGAACAAGAATGGGGAGAGTGGACAGCCCCGACAAACACCACTTGATGTAATCAATTCTGATGACAGTTCGCTATAAGCTCTCACTCTACCAGTTGCGTTCGAGTAGAGAGCCTGAATAAGGTTAATGTACTTGTTTGGCACTCCTTTCAGTGACAAACACAGCCATAGAACCTTACGATCAACAGAGTCGAATGCCGCCTTAAGGTCGAGAAATACTACCATTGTGGGGCGTCTAAACGTGTGTCTGTGTTCTAGAACCTGACGTAGTGTAAATATTTGGTCTATACAACCACGTCCAGGTCGAAAATCGGCCTGATTTTCTCTAGTTTGCTCTTCACGAGCTTTGGTTAGGTGTCGAAGTATTGTTGAAGCTAATATTTTAGACACTATATTAGTCAAACTGATTCCTCTGTGATGGTCACAAGAGGACTTTTTTTCTTTCTTATAGACTGGCACAATCAGTGATTGAGACCAGTCAGATGGGATTACGTCTAGTTCCCATATTCTACCTAAGACCTCAGTTAATCTCACTGCTAATCCTGGACCACCATCCTTAAAAATCTCAGGAGTAAATTTGTCAGGGCCTGCTGTTCTCCCTTCCTTCCTGTACCATATCGTTATTGCAATCTTTCTCCTATATATTACCATCTTATACCTAACCACTCCTATGAATCCGGTGTTCATCTTGCTGTGCTAATGAGGTATGGCAACCTGGACCGATGTGCCTGGTCCTACGTTGTAGCTGACCGACTGACTGACTAATATTTTTATTATCAGAAGGGTTTTTTTGTGTATATACTTATATGAAACAGAAAAGGAAAACTAGACTATTCGTGACTAGCTGGTTAAAATTGCTATTATCTTATTATAAGGTCCATCACAAAAAACGCATTTTAGAAGAAAATTAAGTGTAAATGGCGCCCTCCAACCATTTTAATAAGTAGGAAAGGATTGTTTAACAAAATGCTTCATTATTGCAAGATGAAGTAACCTCTAGAAGAGGTCTTTGTAACTTATGTGGCCTTCTGTGGATACTTTAGACAATAATAATATACAAAGCGTTTTTTTGCTTTCATATTGAACAGATTGTACCGAAGAGTAAAAATAGAGACTGTTGACAGACGGATAGAGTATTGTTCGAATCTTGAATAACTGGTCATTTTACCTTGTAACTGTGGTTCAACACTAAAGATGCTACTGTAAGCTGTTTTGAACACCGCTACAGTTTACTTGGCTTAAGAAACTAGTTGCGTGCCACTGAACCTCAGCAAATTAGTTGGGTTTATTTGGTACATTATTACGTATGTTGTTACTATGTTATACATCGTGTAGAAAAATTCAAATTTACTTATTGTGGGTCGTTTTTGTAGAATGTTGTTATCTAACCTACAAACATGTGATTGTCTCTCCCCATAAAATTAGATTAGTTCATAATCAATAGTAATCGTTTGATTATATAGACTGATCACATGTACTGTCGGAAGCACAAAGTCTTTCCTACATAGCGTTTTTGTACACACATTCTTTCTCTATTTGATAGAGTTTTCATCCGATGAACAGTTGTTTGAATCTGGTCGTATGACACCAGATGGGTTAATCGACGAAGACTTTGAACGTGAACTTGGATGCGCAGCTAAGGCAAGTAGTTCAGTTGTAGTTTTCACCCTTAGTAAATTTAGTTTTGTTCCATTTCCTCCCCATTCTTTCCACATATGTTCATCTATGGCTATCGTTAGTATATATTTAAATCAATTACTGACTCATTTTATGCTTATGAATATTCCGTACTGGCAGCGCGTTTTTTTACATATTATCTTCGTGACTGTTTCAAAGAAAAAGTGGGTTATCCGTTTCATTCCTTACTTGGGTTTCACACGATAGTTTCTTACCTATGACTACATTTTATTGTGGTCCAGTAGCATAGAAAGACAACTTTCAGTTATAGGGTAGTGAATTCCATCCTTCAAATCGCGTGTTTTGGCTAAAATGAAATAACTACTGCTTGATTACAATTTTTATCCAGTTCCCATTGCTTGTTCTTAAACTCATGCCATTTATTGAGGCCCTACTTTTTTCTACATTTTACGATTTCATCCTTGGTTAGAATGTATCAAAAATTAATTTCACCTTAAGAATCATTCACTAACGTTTTTTGCTTATAAATTTTGATTATGTATGGTCTCAACTCAATAGGAGTGATCTATTCATGTGTAGTATTAAATTGTATTTATTAATTAAAATGTATTCTACTTCCCTAAATTGAAAATAGTATTGTGATTAGCACAGCTTATATTTTGTTTTAGTTCGCATTACCATTGTGGTTTTATAAATATATGCAATATATTTTTACCTACTCATTGGTTTTTCGCCGTTACTCAACGTTGTGATCCATGGACTTGGGCACCATTTGATTTACATTTAATAATAAGTCATTTGGATTGTGCCTTATCTGCAATTCGGGCGATTATTCTGTTGTCACTAGTTTTCACACGGTATATTTCGGCCCATAGTTTAGTGAATCTGTGGCGTTGTACTTCTAAATATCAGACCAAGGGCTCGAGTCCCGCTTTACCTACTTCAATTCGGGAAACTGAGTAGTAGTGCGGTGTGTGTTATTTATGCGGACATATATTATAAATATGTATTAAGCATGGGAAGCTGAACTTTCACTGAAAAAGGAAGAAAACAATGAGGAGAGAAAAAAAACTGAAAGCTGTGAAAATAACAACAGGAGCGAACGAACGATGAAACATTTCAAAGAAGATTTGTAAATGATATGTTTTGATGTATATTTTTCTTATTTCACCAAGCCACTGTGATCTTGCATTAAACAATAAATCGGTTATCACCACCTGAGTTCTCGTCCACTACACTAGTATCAATAACCTCTACGCATAAAATGTGATTTAATGCTGAGTACGCGAGTCTGTATTTAGTGAGTTACATCATTAGTACACAATTACATTATAAAGGAGTCTTAGCTATCATAGCTTTTAATATAAAAATGAATAATCTATATTTATACTGAATTATACTAATTAAACAATATTAATTTCAAGTAAATATTATTAACTTTTACTTTTAACTCGCATTAAAAAGATTGTAGGTTTAGTATGCAGGTGTTTTGTAGAGTTGTATGTTCATGTCGTCATGTAGCACGTAATATAAAAAGAAAAAAATTAGTTATTTCTTCGTGAAAGAAAAAAGTCATGTGCGCAAATCACTGTTGTGAAGACCAATGAGAATCTTAACAAAATCAATAGAAGTATTCAACCTGATTGTTTTGTCCCAATTTTTTTCACCTTGTTCTTACCATTGTTTCAGTATATGTCAGACGGTTGAATTAAGCTACGTGGTTCAATATCACTGCTGTTGTGTCACTAGTGAATTGTTTAAGTATTGTTAGTGTCGAGTAAGGGCTTCTTGTCTTTGTTTAAAGTATTGGTAAATACGGTTTCATTGCTTTTTTACACAAACTAATGCATAAAATAATTAAAAAAGCTGTAGAATATTCGAATATTAGTAATCACCACTTAAACCATTAACATCGATTTTTGCCATTTCTTCTATTGATCATTTTATTTTGTGTACGTGTTTACCTTTACTGTCTGTTCATTTGTCGAAGTGAACTTCTTCGGCATTGTTTATTCTTTTCCATGATATTTATTATTGGTTTGTACATTGTTTTATCCTAAGTGTTTTACAGTTAGTAATATGACGACTATTTAAAACCATTAAATTTACTTCGCTTTAAGCAATCGGTTAATATGACTAGTCATCACACACACACAGTGTAACTCAAAACTGAGTACGTAAACAGTAGGGTTAATAAATTAGTTGCTACAGAAGCACCGCGTTATGGTAATTTCATCTTTCAGATAAAATCCGTCTTCTCATTGCTCTATCGAAATTTCATTTGTACTGTGCCTTCATTGTCCATGACTGACTGACTATTTGATAATGTCTCCGTCCATTCTAAAATATATTTCCTTCGGTTAGTGAACTGTATCAACCTCAACAAGTCAACTTCTGTCCTGCTTTCTACATTGTTAACTGTTTCTGATCCACCTCTTTTTTCCATCTAAAGTTGTTATTAATATATTTGTGGCGCCAGTTTTCGGCCACTGGATATTGGTTGGAATACGTCGACTCAATTTTTGTCACATTACGTGATTAGACCAATAGAGTAGCTAAAGAATTCTAGAAAATGGAGAAGTAGCAACGCGAATAATGTGGAGACGTTAGCAAACTCAATATAATACATTCTATGTTGCCGATCTTCCATTTACTGGGATTGATGGACATGATTTTAGATGATGCCCATACCGTACTTCCAATAAAACATGGGCTCCAAAGATTGGCCACCCAAGTTTCCTCACTCTGCAAACCGCTGTTCCAAAACCCAATGTTCCTCTGACCCATCACGATCAACCAGTAATAGGACTTCTCCGTTACCAAAGTTACCCGATGGCAAGTTAGCCAACTGTGGCCAGTTCTTCAGACTTATATTAACCTCAAATTCACATCTGTATGAAGTGATTCGATGAGACAGCGACACTTGTCGGTCATATTCTCTTCCTTCGAACTCTCTACATTAACATTTGATATGATAAGGAACGGCGATGTACTTCACAATGGTTGCACCCACTACAGTTTTTGTATCCATGTCCTCCAAACCCACGGCCTAGTCTAAGACAAACAAAGCCAAACCCCTTTGCTCTTACCTGCAATCACAGGTAAAGCCAGCAACTGACGTCCTTACTATTTCCCGAATATGTGGCGTGTTGAGATTTATAAGCTTCGATCTATTTACGTTCAATTGATCGTGTAAAACAATTCATCTTAGCGTTATGTATTCACCTATTAAAGGCTGCTAACTGACCAAAACAGCTTTGATCAACTCGCACATGGTGAGATGAACTCCCTACTGCGATCATCAGTATCACCGGATTTACTAAGATTAATAATTTGAGAGATGTAATATGAAGATGTATTAAAAAGGACTTGTACAACAGTCGTACTGCTGATTGTACAGAGGTAAGATGTTTCCTTCAGACAACCAGTATAACAGAGATGCTGCCTTTCCACATGGAAGGGTGGTGCTGGAAAACGTCGACTCTAAAAATGCACAACTTGCCTTATCCCATGGATTTCCGTCTCCGGTGGTAAGGTCCCAACAAGTATGGAGCTAACACAACAATTACTCACAAAAAGGTTAGGTGTAACCGGCCTCAAGCAGTTGTCCCTTGGGCATTGCAGTCACGCTCTCAGGTCGCTAAGACCACCTTCTACCCAATCTCAATTTCAGGTACCTCTAGAACTCTTCCACACCGTGGGCAACCGTGAAGTGATAACCGTCTTCATACCTCTAATAGCACTCAAGATCACTGTATTCATAATCAATTTCCCTCTTTAATTCCTATTATTCCTCCTACATTGACTTTCAACTTCCTCTTTTGACTTCCTCCTTAAGTGTCACTATGGCCAGCGATTCTAGTGCGCGAAACACTGTCTGAAGTCTACTGAAACCTCGCTCCAAACTACACGTTGGAGCCTTTAACTTACGTCCCCTGTGTGAAATCGACCAGAAGGCCTCCTTGGCTAAAACCCTAGAATCTCGTACCATTGGTGTATGCTGTGTCTCCGAAACACCCATACAGGATCCTAGTGCGGTCACTCACTTGACCTCACCTCGGCAAAACGGAGATTCAACGAGATACACCCTCCGTGTCTCTGGCGACCCGATGGCTCGTTCTCGTGGACTGGCAAGTGTAGGCATAGCACTCAGTAAGAGGGTAGAACAAACACTATTAGAGTGGATCCCCGTTAACAGTCGTCTATTTGCTGTTCGGCTGAACGGCTCCGTAGGAACTCGGAAGGATAGAGATAAACGTAGTTGCCTTTTCGTCGTTTCTGCCTACACTCCCACTGACTGTAACCTGGATGAAGTGAAAAATGGTTTTTACAGAAAGCTTTCTGAACTTCTTCACAAAGCTGAACGTTCAGATATAGTACTCGTAGCAGGTGGATTTAACGCCCAGGTAGGTAGCTTAAACCAAGCAGAAAAACATTGAGGTGGGTATTTTGGTATTCTGGCTCAGCGAACAGATAATGGTAATTGTCTGCTGCAACTGTGCTCAGACAATCGTTTATTTTTAGCAAGCACTAAGTTTAAGCATAAGGAGAGACATCGTCTAGCATGGCGGATCCAGTGCACTAAACCAACGATGGACTCAAATAGACTATATTACCACCAGTCATAGTTGGAAAGGCTCTATAGAAGCATGTCGCTCGTTCTGGAATACATGTTTAGACTCTGATCATGTTCCAATATGAGCACATATTTGCTTGCGCCTCATCGGACGCAGAAAAACCACATTAAGAAAACCCATTAGAGTTGAACTCAGTGATGAGAAAGCCTAAAGTAGAAGCCATGAACAACTGAAGTCACAATTAGGTAATTGTGAAAACGAGGCTAACCCAGATGTTGATTGAGAAGATACACGAACAACTGTGGAAACAGCAGCGACATCTATTGGTGATATAAACCAAAGGGTTCCGAAAAACCAATTGATTTCTACTAAGTCTATTGCACTGATAGATCCTCGTAAACTCATCCTATCAGGCTCTGAACACGA